TGTACTGCACACTCTTTGGGAAGCTTCCAGAGCTCTTTCTCAGTTTTTACAATTCAATAGTTTTGTTGTGTTACACTTTTGTGAAGAAAACCAACATCTAATTGTCATTATAGGAAACAATTACAAGACACACCCCATAAAGCTGAAATAAAAGAGTATTTGTATTTTTTATTAATCGACGTATGTGTTTACATTTCAATAGCATGTGGTGTGCTATAGTTCTTTCTGCAAATCCGATATCTAACTGTTATTCTATGAACCAGTAACAAGACACAACCTTTGAAGATGAGATAAAATGCTGTATGTTTACAAAAATAATGTTAATAGGTTTGAATTTGATTCAATAGCGTGTATCCGAATTTTTTTTTATTAAAGTAAAAGATACATAGAAATATGGTTATATGAACCAGCAACAAGACACACCCTTTGAGGTTTAACGGTCAGACTCTGTGTATTTTAAAGGGGTCATATGATGCTGCTAAAAAGAACATTATTTTGTGTATTTGGTGTAATGAAATGTGTTTATGCGGTTTAAAGTTAAAAAAACACATTATTTTCCACATACTGTACATTATTGTTTCTCCTCTATGCCCCGCCTTTTTGAAACGCGTCGATTTTTACAAAACTAATCGGTCTGAAAAGCGAGGTGTGCTCTGATTAGCCAGCTATCCAGTGCGTTATGATTGGCCGAATACCTCTTTGCAATTTTTCTCTGAGAAACTCCTTTCTGATATTGCTCCACTATTTTTCGCCGCAGCATTGGGGGAATTGGTGATCCTCTGCCCATCTTGACTTCTGAGAGACACTGCCACTCTGAGAGGCTCTTTTTATACCCAATCATGTTGCCAATTGACCTAATAAGTTGCAAATTGGTCCTCCAGCTGTTCCTTATATGTACATTTAACTTTTCCGGCCTCTTATTGCTACCTGTCCCAACTTTTTTGGAATGTGTAGCTCTCATGAAATCCAAAATGAGCCAATATTTGGCATGACATTTCAAAATGTCTCACTTTCAACATTTGATATGTTATCTATATTCTATTGTGAATAAAATATAAGTTTATGAGATTTGTAAATTATTCCATTCCTTTTTTACTCACAATTTGTACAGTGTCCCAACTTTTTTGGAATTGGGTTTGTATTTGTTTACATTTTAATATGTGTTGTCTTATAGTTCAATACGTTTTTTTGTCTTATAGTTATGTGAATAATATCAACATCTACATGTTCGTCTATGAACCAGTAACAAGACACACCCTTTGAAGATGAGATGGAATACTGTGTTTTACAAATGAATGTGTTAACAGATCCTGATTTACATATGATAGTAAAAGATGGCTGTAAATATTGTTTTTTGAACAAGTAACAAGACACACCCATTTAAGTTTACATATCAAACGGTGTGCATTCTAAATCAATTTATGTAAACTTCTGAATGTCAAACTTGGTCAAGATAAGTGCAGTATCTTCCTCTAGGGGGCGGTAAACTGCACAATCTTTGTAATGCTTTGCAAGCTTTTTCCTCAATTGTTCCATTTTAATAGATTTTGTTGTGCTATAGTTCTGTGAATAAAAAATCAACATCTAAATGTTATTTTATGAACCAGTAATAAGACACACCCCTTAGATCTGAGATTGATTTTTTTATACATTTCACAAGTGAAGCATTTACATGGAATAATTGTGCTTTTTGCTCTTGGTTTTGCACTTTGCAGACGGTCCCTATCCTGAACTTTAACATTATAAGGTCTATCAGTTACAATACCGCAGATTAAAACAAATAAAACACATTGTGTGTTCTCTTCTACATTTGAAAACAATTATAATACATTATGTTTCTTGTCCTTGTGCTAAATCGTTAAAGAACTATTGAAGATTTCCGAGGCAGAATCTCTGACAAATGTCAAACGTCGAACCAACTTTATATCGGTCCCATGGTGGTGGGAGAGGTTTTTTATAAGTCTTTTATAAGTGACAGGACTAATCTGTGTTCCACATGTGCAAATAACCAATCTGTGGGAGCCAGAATTCTTGCTGGTTGGTAGAGGATCAAATACTTTTTTCACTCACTGAAATGCAAATCAATCCCTAACCTTTATATAATGTGTTTTTTTTTCTGGATTTTTTGGTTGGTATTCTGTCTCTATCTGTTCAAATAAACCTACCATAAAAATTACAGACCCTTCATTTCTTTGTAAGTGGGCAAACTTACAAAATCAGCAGGGGATGAAATAAATATTTCCCCCACTCACTGTACAACCATCCATAAGTCACTAAGCGCCACATTCCTGTCATTCCAGGTCTGCGCGTGCCATCATTTAACACAACAGTCAGCGCGAGCTGCTTGTATTCGCCTCAGCCAGTTTTAGCTGTTTTGCTATACTTGTATTGCTTTTATTTTGGTGCTTTAAAAGATATTACACCAATATCCGACTACATTTAGATGAATACGCGAGTTCTGGTTTGGTTTTCTCCCATTCGCTTCGCGTAACGCAGTGTTTTACCTGGCTTCGGCTGGCTAAGCAGGCTAACTAATTTAGCTAACGTTATCTCGCGAGTTAATCGATACTCTGCTGCTTTCACTCCGCAAGGATACGAGGAACACCTCATGTATCTTTTTAAAAAGATTATGCCATATATCTACACGTGACAAGTGAGTATAATGTAGTTTTATGCACCGTCGGTGTATAATTAACATTTACAGCACTGCTAGATGTTTTTCTGTTCGTGCTAACTGGCTAACAGATGTGAGAACAGTGTTTAAACGAACAGGGCGGACAGAGTAAAACTCCTTGGAATAAACGTCTTTAAATGTGACAAACGTTCTTCAAACCTCTTAGTTTTGATTCAAAACACGATATATATAAGTCATTCATTGTCAGGAGAGAATGCGTTAGCGGCTCCAAGTAGGTGTATAGAAACATCTGCCATTTCAGTCAGCTGTTCTTCCAGTTTAGCGTGTCTTTTAAAGCTTCTCTTTAATTCTGGTCAGCTAAAGGAGATGTTGCTTGTAACCAGTTGCTTGTTACGTTAAGGGTTAATTAAAATAAAATAACACGGTGCACAGAGCCTTGGCCGGTTTGGCCTGTATTTGTTGGTGTTGTGGACATTCATGTGTCAGTGCAAATGAAGTTGTTTTCCTGATGTACAGAGAGCTGTGATCTCGGGTTGGACCTTGTGGATGTTGTGAAAGGCACAGTGAAGCTGAAGACCAGATGTTCCTCTGACACAAGCAAAAATGATGCCTGTAAGTATTCATTTTCATTTATTTTGTCAGCAGTGAGTCATAACTACCAATATTGTGTCTGCCAGATTATTTTTATGGTTCACATAGTGAGGCATCAGTTTGATTATTACAGCTTCTGTGTTTATAGTATTTTTTGAAATAACCTACTACATTTTGGAAAGTGCGTACAGTATGTTGGTTCGTTACACTAGTGTGAAAGTCTTTGTTTGACTTTTGATCATTGCTGAGGGAGGCATTGTGGGCTGCCTATTGCCTTGCCAGGGGATCCATAATGGGGTTTCTTTTCGGAAAGCTGTTAATGAGATGGGAATATCCACAGTGCAAAAACACTATCTGTGCCTCATGCTGTGCCGTTTGCTGTTTCACTGATCATTTAGCTTTTTAAGTACAATACCTCTGTTTGAGATGGCAAACAATGAGTTTTAATTACAGAACAGTTTCAAAACAGAACTTTATTGTGTGACAAGGCTTTAGTCCAGGGGTGTCAAACTCAATTCCTAGAGGGCCGGAGCCCTGCAGAGTTTTGTTCCAACCCTGCTCCAACACACATATCACATAGTTTTCAAATAAGCCTAAAGGACTTGATTAGTTGGATCAGGTGTGTTTAATTAGGGTTGAATCTAAACTCTGCAGGGCTCCGGCCCTCCAGGAATTGAGTTTGACACCCCTGCTTTAGTCAATCACCTTTTTTCTCTGTGCACTAATGGCAGCTATTAGTTTTATGATGCTGATGTGCTGTTGCTCGTTAAGAGAATGTTTTTTTCTTTTTTTTTTCCCAGACTAATGGCTTAATAGTTTCAGTAATGCGAAATTATTATTGACAGTTTTGTGTCCCTCCCTCAGTTCTCAAAGGGTCTTAGTATTTGGTGCTTGGCGACATTGAAAACATACAAATGCTGCATTTGATGTTTGTTCATTTATGTTTTTATTGCTGTTTTTTAATTTAAGTTTTGATCTATTTCATATTTGTAGGAACTAAAATAGTGAAGGATGCACATCCATTTAAATATGTGAGGATTGTTTTTAGGCAGCATTTTTTAATTAATAATTGTTTACCAAGACTTTTAGTATTCATAATCTGTTTTATTTCAAAACAGCTTCACAGAAAATCAGTGTGTTTTCATGAGCACTTAGACCCTGCAGGTGCATTACTCTGAGATCACACATTAACTCCAAAGGAAGCTTCATATCATTAAACATTACCCTTGTTGAGCACATTTAACCCACAACATTTGACGTTTTTCAACAAAATAGTATTTTACTGCCTCCTCTAGAGATGTGGATCATCCGAGTAATTATTAGGTTATCGCAGTTTAAAGGAGTCATCGGATGCGACATGCACTTTTACAAGCTGTTTGAACTGAAATGTGTGTTGGCAGTGTGTGTACACAACCACCCTATAATGATAAAGAGCCACTCAGTGTTTGTTTTTTTAATCTCGTTAAATCATTTCCCCTTCCTCAAATCGAGCCCATCTCAGATGCCTGTCTGTGTGACGTCACACAGACAGGCCCACCCGTGATTGTTTGATTGAGTTTCAGCATTGACCCGCCCTGAGTGAGCTGTCAACAGTTCACCATTGCTTCACGCCGGAGCAAATGTATACAAGAATGTCTCCTAAGCGATTGAGGTGTTTTGTTGTTGGATGTAATAATGAACATAGCGGTCATCATTTACTCCCGACATCTGAGCCGCTAAAGACGCAGTGAATTACTTTTGTTTCTGAAGGGAATGCACCCCCGATCTAAGTTACCTGCGTCTACATGCGTCTATCTTGGCGCGAATCATTTGTGATCCAGCTTCACCTCCAGAAGAAGTGAGTATAAGGTTTTTTTAATGAATCTTTGCAAATGGCCTTTCCTAATAATGTGCTAGTTACAGAGTTTCACGATGAATGCGGCTAAAGTTTACCATCTCTCAGAGAGCAGCTCAGAAGAGAGGGGCAGGGTGAGCAGAGCTCATTTTAATTTAAAGCGGCATGCAAGAAAACAGCTCGCTGTAGACAGAGCTGTTTTTGACAGGGTAAAAATGGTGTTGTTTTACACTACCAAGAAATTTTAACCAAACTATGTTACAGACCTTTCATTAATCAACTTGTGGAAAATGGGCATCCGATGACCCCTTTAAGTAATCACTGCCTACCACGCTAACCTTATCTAGAAGAATCCTCATGGTATTCAGGCGCCAGTCAAATCTCTTGTCAGGTTTTAAAGGGCTTTAACATCCTCCACCTGTTTGTTTTTGTTTATTTTTAATTCACTGACAAATCGATATACAATCATCACATGTACCTAGTAACCCATGCACCATGTCAAATGTAATGTGTATGCTCATATTTCTGTTTTCCTCTGTAATGCTACTCAAATGTGTCCCCAAACTTAATTTTTCAGCAGAGAGCAGATTGCTAGTCATGATTACCATCCTTTGATGACATCTGAATAATATCCTGTTTTGCTGTAGTGTGGAAGGGATCTGATTGTTTGTGACTAAACAAAGTAAAATGTGATTGTACTGATATGGATTATGGAGAAAACAACGTGCGCTTCAGTCTGTCTTGTAGGTTTAATTTTTTATTTTTGATGCGTTATTGCCATTGATGGTCGGTGGGAGCCTAATCTCAGTAGTACCTGTCTTTAAAGTGAAAAGAGCACACACATTTGTTCTCACCGACTGTGAGAACATGGATGATCTGTTCTAGTACTAAGACCTTTCTCTTCAAGTGTTCTAATCGCTTACGAAAAACTGTGCTGTATGTGGAACTCGGACTGTCTGCAAGGTGGAACAGAATGTGGAAAAGACTTTAAGCTTCAGGGACAGCAACATAGTGCTTTTGTGGGTGGTTTATCATTATAACATTGTTTTAGCCAGAAGTTTAGTTTCTGCAACTTTTGTGACGGCCGTGAACACATTGTCCCAGATCTTTTCCAAGATGTTTAAAGGGGAAACATGCAACAGTATGAAGGTGAGGTTGCATTAATGAAATTTGGGATGAGAAAGGTCCATTTTCACTTCTGTAGTGATGCAAGAAACACAAAGACGTCACTTTCAAATAGGGCTGGGCGATATAGCTAAAACTTTATCAACAATATAATGTTTCATATCGTTCGGTATCGATAATTATTGAAATTTTTATAACCTTTTTTAAAACAAAAAGCAATAGAAAAAAACGTATAAATTTAACCACTGTGTTTTTAAATTAACACAATTTATTGAGACAAACAACAAATATTTTTTGTTTTAACAATCAAACACAAAATAAAAATTAAACATATCTCATTTCTAATGTTTTATATGCAGATTAAATGGGTTATAAGGAAAATTTTGTCTTGTCTCCCAAGGCCACAGAAGGGCGCAATGAGCAAAATAATGCAGCACATTTAAATTGTCAACGCAAGGAAGTAACTCTATAAAAACGTGCATAACGTCTAAATTAACTCATAAAAATCAAATATAATTTCGTAAATTGCATAATTATGAACAAAACAGCATCATTTATTTATGCATTGGCCTATATTGTGCACTATATCAAAAAAATTTTCTATCGATATTGAAGAAGGTGTACCGTCGATAAATATTGATACCGTTTTATCGCCCAGGCCTACTTTTAAACCAAGCAGCACAGTGAGTTCACATGACAATCTTGAATGTGATGTAAAATCTAAGTGGAGGGTATTTTCTGTCCTTACTCAACTCAGGACTCAACGCACGGAATTTCAGCTAACAATGGTAAATGTGACTCTGCCTTAACAATGTAACATGGAGTGTCTACTGTTGGTGGTCTTAAATTGACTTTTTTTTACAGTCTAGTTGTTAGAATGTTTGATTTGTTTGCTTTTATCTTAAGTGCAAAATGGCTTTTAGGTACCACACCATTCATTTTCTACTTATTGATTCAAACTATAGCCTTAATTGCATACTGTTGAAAGCATGATTATCTGCAGCAGCTTTCAAACAAAGGATGTTAGGTTCAGTTTCCTGCTTGCTGAAGCCCCTACACTTTCTCTCTATGCTGATGTTGGCATTGTTCAAGTGTAGCTACAGCCTCTAAGCTGCCTGTGCTGCAATTGGCTGACAGCCATGGAAACAGCCAAACGAGGGGTAAACGGCAAACTCACAGAAGGGTGTGGTTGAGTTCATCATAAGGTTAGAGCTGTACATTACATTATGGTCCTATATTTTGCGAATTAACTTCTTGACTCATTGACTCTTTGTATGTAAAACCATCTACATTGCACACCTCAGGGGCTACACAGGTGTGCATATAACTACTACACAGAGTGAGTGATGAAGAATGGCATGTATTTCTTTGGTTTCTCTAGAATACTAAAGACATCTTCAGTCTGCTTAAATTAATTGTGAGAAAGCTGTTTTTTCCATAGTCAGCCTGCATAGGACTTTTAGTTTAAGACTGTGATGAAGAGCCTACATGCTGAGACTTCCTCCATGACCTAGATTGCTCTATCATGCTGGGAATGCAGATGCATGATGGGAAATACCTACATATGTACTGCCTAGTGGCTATTTGTATCTAGAGAACTAGAGCAATGTGTAAGCCAAGAATCTGAGTAGATGAGAAGATCTAAGAGCATACTTCATCAAACCTCAGTAGAGGTCAAAGACACAGACTCGAGAGACACATCCCCAAATGCTCCTGTGGTGTATATAATAAAGCGCTTAATTTGTCTACTGTTTACTGAAGCACGCCATATTCTAGTAGTGCGCTGAAAACAGGGTCACTGATGCATTCAGAACCTGCTCCACAGTCTCTATGGATTGTCTAAAGCCTGTGTTATACTTTCCGCGTGCGCGGGTCCGCTATGGTATGCATGACGTAAAAATCGTCATCGGGGAGGGTGCGCGGAGGCTCTGCGCGGACATCCGCGTGCCTCCCATTTTTTTGTGACCGCGCGTACTTGTAGGCTACTGCGCCTGCACAGGCTGTGTGAAGAAGCCCGTTGCTTCTCGAACCTGTAAAATCCGTCGATAAAACAATATAAAGA